GCCAGGTTGTAGAGTATCACTTGACAATTGTGTTGCAAAATCTAAACACTTCTGGTGTTCTGCCCATTGGAGAGGTATTAATTCTGAAGTCTTGCTAAACAGCTTTCTGGACAAGTCAAAATTCCAATTCATAATGGAATCCTTCTGAAAGGGATATTCTGACATTAGCAGGTCAGAAGCAGGATTCCAGGTCATAGTAAGGATGTCTGTGGAGACATCAGTGCTAAACAGAGGAAAAAAAGTTATAAAGAGTGGAATTATTACTAGAAGAACCAAGAACATCATCATGAGATCTGAATCCATTATGTTCCTGTATCTTGTGCAGAGTTCTAATTGTCTCGTCTTCCAAAGGATAGTGGAGATTGAAAAGGTACAGAGAAGAAAAGCAAGGATGATCAGATACAAGTAATTACTTCCTTGCAGGGAATGATCTTTTAGGGTTAGAATTCTTTAATCTGAAAATGAGGTAACTAAGGGAGAATGTGATGGTGATGAGTGACCTGAAGGGGTACTGATTTTTCATTGTGCGAGTGTGTGTAATACATCCTGTGTGACCTGTGTCTCCTTGATTTTGCAGGTGGTCGAAAAGCTGATCCGAGGTTTAGCAATGGAGGACAGCCGGAATATGTTTGCGCTCTTTGAACATAACCAGCAGGTTGACCATGCTGTGGAGAGTCGAGTGATTGTGGCTGATATCTTGGCCAAGTTTGAGAGGTAGAAGAATGTTTCATAAAGTCTTTAACTCCTAGTTGGTTGGAACCCTGGATTTCAGAATCCAGGGTTGCTTTCATATTGTGAGTTGCATTGTGGACATCCCAGTACCATGGTGCTTCTCCTTACTATTTTTTTCCCTTCTCATTCTTTTTCCTGTCTTACAGACTTGCTGGCTCTGAAGAAGAGGAGGAGGAAGGGCAGTGGCAACTGTATTTTAAGCTTTATTGCTTTTTGGATATTGAGAATGTTCCCAAAGATGGGGTGGAATTTGCCTTCATGTTTGAGCAGGTAAGCTCACTCTGGGAGAATGATTTGGTTTACAGGGTGTCAGAAGCAGACAAGAGTATACAGAAAACTGGCTTGCCTTTCATTAGAAGTGGGGATGGTGGTTGGAATTAGTGCATTGGATTTTTGCCTGGAATCTATGAAGCAGATATACTGTGAAGTTCTCTAGGGAAGAGGAGTATTAGGAAAAAAGCAAGAAAAACTAGCAAAGGCTTAAAAACTGGAAGACCAGTTATCAGAAAATGTTGTAAAAATTTATCTTTAATTTTAAAAGATAGAAATTTGCATAATGATTCAAGAAAAATCATTAAAAGTAGCTGCTTGCAGAATATAAATGTAAAGAAAACTGGAAAAATCTAGCTATCCGCATATTAGCTTACAAGAACAGCACATCCTTACAGTGTTACCAGAATTAACTATAAGTCTTCTGGGCAATTTCTTTTGGTTAACAGAGAGGCATTAGAGGAGTACTACAGACAAACGAAAAGACAATGTAGTTGAGAATATTTATCTGCTGTGTAGCCTTTTTTTTTTTTAGAGTCATTGTACTGCATAGCACAATGATGCTGGTTAGGTCAGATGTCACACTGGGATGAAAGTGCCTTGCATATAGAGATGTAAAACTGAACTGACTGGAGCACCTAGCTGTGTGATTCATCCCATCTGTATCGCTTCTAATGAGCACTGATCTTGCCTCAGCTATTGAAGATTATTTAATACATGTTCCTGGCAGTCACTGTCATAAAGACTGAAGATAGTCAGATGGATGGTATGTACATCACAGACAGTGGGTCCCTTCTTGAAATGGACATCAAATATTGTTAATTACAGAATATCTAGGAAATGGTCAGGAACAACACATCATGGTGCTCTCTGGGAACTCAGTTGTACAAAACTCCATTGACAAGGCTTTCAGTCTACACAGCTTTAACTAGCAAAGAGAAGTAACAGTGGGAGAGTAGATATTACCTAGACATCAGATGACAAAACCCCCCTATAAATAGATTTCACAGGAAAACAGGCAAAGGGAAGCAAGAAGATTTGGGGGAGATATCAGGTGAAAGAGGAAGAGGTGGAAAGTGCTTATGTGCAATGAAACTGAGGTTGAGAGTCTTGAGTTTATTATATCTTGAGTTAATATATCCTCCACCCAGGAGCTATAGCTGGTACAGCACAAAACAAATTGCCTAAATTCCAGTCTCTCCCATCTGTTTCAGACCTAAAAAGTCCTCACTGTAGGGCTTTCTGTACAGGACAGGAGCCCCTCAGAGGTATCTGTCCCATCCAGGCCTGCAGAAAGAGGTGTTCCCCCCACATCAACCAGTTGCAGACTTTGACTTATTTATTACAATGTCTACTCTGACCTCCCGATTAATGTCTTTCTTGCTGGGATCAGCAGATGTCATAGGAATCTGTACACGGGTCCAGCTGTGAATAAAGTGTGCTTCTGCTTTCTAATGAGTTTGGGGGACTTTTTTGTTTGTAGGCTCACGAAAGCCTCATAGATGGTCATTTTCCTGCACCAGAGGACACTCTGCAGCGCTTAGCAGCTCTACGGCTGCAGTATCTTCATGGGGATTATTCCAAAATAAGTTGGACCCTTGATGGAATCTACCCAGTTAACAGACTGAAATCCAAAATACTACACTCAACAAAGAGCAGTGGCACTACCAGTCATACTCTGGAGAGGAGACGGACCAGCTTCCTTGAAGGGACATTGAAACGCAGCTTCAAGACAGGGTCTGTAAAGAAGCAGAAGGTAGAAGAAGAGCAGATGATGGAGATGTGGGTAAAGGAAGAGCTTTCAGCTGCTCGGGCAAGCATAGCACAGAAATGGACCAAGCTGCAGGGACTCTCTCAGCATCAGGCCATGGTGAAATACATGTCCATCATAAAGGAGTGGCCAGGTTACGGGTCAACACTCTTTGATGTTGAGGTGAGCAATGTATAAACTCATGTAACTGCTGCCAAGGAAAGGCATCACTCTGGAGAACAGATTGAGCTGTGTGTATCACATTGCTCAGCAGCAGAAGGGAGTTTTGGGAACTGGATGCACTTTGCCTTAGTAAGCTCAGGGTAAGCAGCATCACATACCCAAGAGTTGTGATGTGGAGAGCACAGAGCAAGCAAACTGGGGCATCTTGGGAAATGAAGAGAGACAATGGATTCCCACTTCATTAGAACAATGGAATTGTTGGAGGGCTTAAGAAAGTGGTGGTTAATGAAAGCAAAAGTAAAATGAAGCTCTGTTGTACTTACCAGCAAAAAGTGCAATCCTGTTTTGCAACAGAAACTGCTCAGACTGGGTCACTTGCAGCACTGTACTCAGCCTGCTAAATTAGGAATCCACAGTTCCAATTCTATCAGTTTTGGTGCTGCCTAGGTGGATCACCATGGGAAGTTGCTTGCACTAACTATATTATCCATAAAATAATAACTGGGACATTGACTTGCTATGTCACTTTAAAATCTGATGAGAGATATTAGCTTATACAATTATTTATTACTCAACTAGTATTTTACTCCCAGCCATGTCACTTCTGAATCTCTGCAGCAGGAGTGTCTCCCAGATACCTGCTGCAGACATTCTGGTTTTTGTATTGGGGTGTGAGGAGTTGAAATGTCCTATAGGAGCTAGAAAGAGAGGGCTTTTCCTTGAATGAAAGGTGTCCACAGCACTCAGCCGCATTTATGCAAAAGGTCATGTTTCTCTTTCTGCTGCAGTGCAAGGAGGGTGGATTTCCCAATGATCTCTGGCTTGGAGTCAGCACAGAGAATGTGTCTGTCTACAAACGAGGGGATCCTAAACCACTAGAAACTTTCCAGTATGAGCACATTGTTTTCTTCGGAGCACCACAGCCTAACACCTTCAAAATTACAGTGGATGAGAGAGAAATGTTCTTTGAAACATCCCAGGTAGGTGAAAGCATGAGACTTGCTCTACATACAGTTTTACTGCCACTTTAGCTAGGCTCCAAGGAATAGACAGGTTTCTATGCAGGAACTCTTGCCTAGTAGACTAGACAGTCAAGGGAGAAGATGAAGGGAGCTTAAGTCTAAAGGTCATGGCACCTCTTCTTGAATGCAGGGATAAACAGGAAAGAAATATGCTGGTTAGAAACTGAAGGAGGCTGAATGGTCTTCCAATGCATCGAGAATTTCCAGTTCTGGATGCTCATCAGTGTGCCTGATTTTTCCATTCCTTTCCAGTAGATGAATGGGGAGTTCACAAACTCATGAAAAGAAAGTTTAGTAGCATTAAAGTTGCTTTTCTTTGAGTCCCAAATCTTGTATATTGCTACAACAGAGCACAAACTTGTCAGGCATTTCTTTTCTTACTGTCATGTTCACATTTAGTATTGCATGCAAAATTTATTGTGCCAGGACTTTGGACAAGGGGCACCTCTTTCAGCAAACTATCCTGTATGCCTCAGTGGAATGAGATTTTTAATGTGCTTACCCTCTGTGACTGTGGTCTCTCTCCAGGTGGGCGAGATAATAAAGATCATGAAAGCATACATCAACATGATTGTGAAGAAACGCTGCAGTGTCAAATCAGCCACCAGTGTGGACAGTCACGCTAGTGTCTGGACTAGGTGATATGAATGAACTGCCACAAGAGAGAGGCAGTAGTTTAGTGATGGGTATTTGCAACTTGCCAGCACAAGTGTAGCAAAGATGTTTTTTTAAGAATTCAAGTGACTACTGTATTTAAAACCTGAAGTGACATCTACAGTACCATAGGATTTGCACCTCTGCCCAAAGACTTTAAACAGTAACAACTGTTAATAATACTAATGACCCAAACCTTTGTTGCTTGTTTGATGAACAATGTACCTTAAAGAAGCAAAGTCAGAAGCATCCTCCTTCTCATCTGTCTTCTCTGCTGCTTTCACCATTATCTGTCATACTGGCAGAAAAATTCATAAGAATCATTTCTGCGTGACAGGAGACAGACAGACTTAAGCTTCCTTCCTTATGAATTTTGAACATGCAGACATCTGGGATCATGTGATCACAGTATAGTCTGCTAAAAGAATATTTGTTTCTTATTTATTTTGCAAGCAAATCTGAAATATAAGTCACTGTGGTTTTTTTTCTTCAGGATATACTAATGATCTGATCTGGTCTTAAAAGTAAATGCCATTGTATAATTGAAGCCAAGTGGTCCAATGGAGAGGTCAAACCCTACAAGAGAGAGCATTAAAGAAACAAACAGAAACACCCAAGGCGATTCTTTGCCTTCCAATAAAATTTCACAGGTACACGACTGTAAAAAGTGGCACTTTCAGTTAAACTACTAAATACTCCAGCATAGGAGAAAATCTTTGGCACTAGCACCACTGAAATAGATCATTAGGTGCCATTTTGGGCACGTTGTAAGCAGCACCTGTTGCCTAAAAAATAATGACTGCCTTTCCCCTGTACAGCCCAGGAGGGGAGATTGTATTAGTAGTGTTTCCAGAACAACTGCTCTTCACAAACTCCAGGTTTTAGATGGAAGTTAGAGATTTATGGTAAGCAGCCTGCCTGCATTAAGATCCTTCTTTCTCTAGATGGGATTTAAGGGTGACTGGGATGCCTGAACTTTAGTTTTACGTGAACTGTTTCCTACTGAGGGAATCAGTGTCTAGATAAATTGTTATTGTCAAGATTTTCACTTCCTCTGTACTTCTGTAAGCAGATGCCAAACCCTTCATATGCCTCCAACCTTTAACAGGAACTGTTTGCATCAGTGAATCCCCAGATCCCCCTCCAGTCTCCTCTAGGTTCCTAGTCTACAGCAGAACTCGACAACAGTGCTGTTCTGCGAAAACAACTGCTGATTGGAGGTTTTTATAGCTACCTGCAATTTTAAGGAGAATTTCTTTCTTCTCCATGAAAGATGACAGTCATCTTCAGTCTCTTGACTTCAGAAACTTGATTGCATTGTTTAAAACAATACTCAATATCAGACACATCATAAATTAGTTGCATTAGCAAACAAGAAACCTGGTAGTGAGCCTTTTTTTACAACCCTTGTCAAGTCTCAGGATCCCAGAATGCAAAGGCCCATTCTGTTTCCTAATGAAACTGCAGAGCTGCATGTAATGTGGGCCTTGTTCCACATTTAAAATTGGCTGTCTCCATTTCTGAAGAAGTAGCAGATGGAAAGGAAAAGTAGGACTCAGTATGAAACAGGTTCCATTCCGACTCATCATCGGATCGTGCCATGTCACTAATACTGTGTTGCAGAACACTGCAGTTTTGAAGTTGACAGTACAAGAAGAAACACTGTACATAACCCATGCTCTGCTCTCATTTCCACTACACTGCAGCATGTGCAAACACTGAGCACTTGCCACATGATCAGCCTGAGATGATAGCCACTGCTGTGCATCATATCTTCAACCAGAGTTTTGCCTTAAATAGCTTTACTGAAGATCTTACAAACACCCCCTTGTTGTCACGAGGAATAAAGAGATGACCAGGTCACAAGTAGAGAGAAAAGGAATGCAGAGGCAACCTGAGAAGCAAGACTTTGTATTGGTCTGTACACTGATTCCATCTCTCATGTATCAGACTAGCCTTGATTATCCCTGTCATATCTCTGCACTAGCTCTGTGTTCTGGCTCTTGGGTTGCTGCAGGCAGCTTGAACCCACTTGAAACATAACTCCCATTACTATTTGTTGTAATTTTGCTTATTTCTATTACAGAATTCCTTCTTCTGTCTTTTTTAATTTGTAACTGGCTTTACAAGATGAAAGTTTAATAAATTATTGGATTGCACGGGCTGTATTCACTCACAGGCATTGTGTGCCCATGTTAACATGTTTTCTTGGCAATCTCAACACTTAGAACTTGTAAGTGAAAAGTAGGCATCATCAGCATGAGGAAACAACATCTGTCCTCCCAGAAGCAAATTTTGCCTTTGGGGTGAATTACAGAAAATAGTTTGCTGCTCCAACAGGGAAGGTTTGTTTCCAGCATGTGCCATTCTCTCTGGTGCTGAGTCACAGTTGTGGTCAGTGGGGGATGTCCCACTGGTTCTGAGACAGCTCCATCCCTTCTCTTCAGCACCTCCAAAGCCACTAGTAAGAGAAAATCACTTTAGCTGAAATAAGCTGCTATCTGCACTTCCCACACAAATAGCATGACCAGGGGCATGGTGCTCACCTAAGAGCTTGTGTCACTGAAGTGATAAATCTGGACTGGGAGCAGCTCAGCTGTTGGCAACACAGACAGACCATCCCACTAGCAGACAAAAGTTCCCTCAATCAATGCATAGGTATGGAAACCAAGCAGTGATGCATCATCCCCATTAATATGCTCTCCTATATCCCTTGGCCAGATGCTCTGAGAGTCTTGGGACCCTGGAAATCATTCTATGCAATTTCATCTCACAACTGTTCACAGATTCTTTTTTTTTTCCATCTTTATCACCTTGCATAGACTTTCCAGGTCTTTATTTGAGGGTGGAACTGCCCCTGCTTACTTCAGCAGTTGCTTTTCTTACCTCAGCTATTACATTCCTTTCTGTCTCCTTCCAAAACCACACTAGCTCTGCCTCCTTTCTGCTTAGGAAGCCTTATGTCACACACACGCAGCTGCTGCTTGTTTGGGTGGAGGAGGGAGTCAAAACCAAACCCAGGCTGTGGGGTCCTCATGTCTCCTAAATACCCCTCCTATGACAAAGCATGTCTCCACCACATTGGGATCTGGCATGGCCTGTCCCTCCTACTCACTGCCTGCTGGGCTGCTAACTGAAGCTGAATTTTTTTCTTGGTGGCAAACTCGAAGGCGAGCCTCGGTCACCATGGATTGAAGCAGAGCAAGCTAGTCAGTCTCCCTTCTGTGCAGCTGTCAAATTTCAAACTGCACTTCTTTCATCATGACAACAAACATGCACTGCTGCAGGTCCAGCATGACTACAACAACATGCACAAATGCATTAATGACTGGTAGCTGTGAATAACCACCCAAGGTGGCAGCCACCTAAGGGCCTTCTCTTGCTCCCTTTCTAAACCTGTTTGATCACTCTGTCAGCATGATGCCCGGTCCCTTTGGGACTCCACCCTAGTATTTCTCTAATGGTTAATTGAAGTTTGAATATTCTAATGTTTATTTGATATGAACTACTTTCATGTCAATTTATAATCAGCATCTACACCATCAACACAAAACTGTTTATATGCAAAGACATAGCCCCTGGTAAGTTGTATCACAAGCTCATGTGTCTAGTTATTAAACGAGTTTGGCTTTAAACTTCAAATGTTTATTTACACCTTGTCCTAAAACACACAGACCTTGCCTATGTAGGCTCTATGTTCTACCATTATGCTGTGTATTGGCTTGAAAATTACTTGCACCCCTAGGACCTTTAAGCAAATCCCTCACACATGAATACAGCCCCCACTGTAAAATATAAATTCCTAAATTACTGGAATACAAATTTGCTAGGCTCCTGTCCACTTTTTATACCAGAGATTCCTAATGCCACAACTGGATATACACTTTGGCCCCATGCCACTGTCAACACAAAGGTGATTGCCAAGAACTCGACTGCAGTGGAAGTCACTTGCCCCTACCTGCCTGTTCTGTGCTGGTCATGCTGCAATGCTGCATGCTGGCTGGGCTTCACACCCAGCAGGGAGGGCTCCATCACACCCTGTCCCTGGGCTCTGCACAAGTATTTAGGTCTGAATGCAACCCAGAGCAAACACATTAAAAGTTGGATGATTCCTGATTCTTGGCAGATGTTTACTACCCCACACTGGCTTGGGCAGTCTGGACAGCCAAAGAGCACAGCTGGCTGGTAGTGGACCCAGCCCCACCTCCTGCCCACACTGCACCCAGGGACCCACCTGGGGCCCCTCTGCAGCCTTCAGGCACTGGTCCCAAGCATGTGGGTGCCTCTGGCCTTCCCCAAAATGCTGTGAGGGCTCAGTTCTTCCCATAAAAGCAAACACCTGTAAATCCTGAGTGACTCTCAGTGAAAATAGTGACAGCCTTTCAGAATAAACTCAACCAGCTCTGTAACAGGTTAGGCATTAGGCACAGTTTTTCAGGTCTACTAATGAGGCACACAAATTAATAGGAACAACTTACCTATCTTGTTTCTTTCTCCCATTAGTGTGAGGCTGAGGGCAACTCAGCTGCTCCATGTTTGTGTCTTTGGCAGGGCATGCCTGTGGGCACAGCAGTGTTTAAACCGGGAGCCATCTCCTCCCAGGTCCCCTGGGACGGTTGCATCTTGGCAAGTGGCCATCTCTGAGCAAAGCAATGCAGAGGAAAGCCTGGGTTTAAGTACTCGGAAACAGAGCTGGTCCTGCAAGGTGAGACTGGTGTGGGGTGTAAAGATGCTGAATCTGCATGGTAGGAGACACCCTGCTTGAAGAAGGAGACATGTGGTGGGAGTCCCTCGAGGCTGGAAGAGGGAAGAATTGGTTGTTGTCCACAGCAAACTCCTCATTATTGTGTCATGATGGGCCGAGGTCGAAGGAGCTGCTATCTCCATGGGGCTGTAGGATTTTGCTCGCAGAGAAGGGGAACAGACACATCCCTGCAAAGGTTGTGATGTCATGGTGTTACAGCTGTCCGCAGTGGCTGTTCTGGCCCTTTTCCTGTACCCTGTGGTGATGTTGGGCTGTTGGCAGTGCTCATCCCACACATTTCAGGCTTGTGGCTGTGCTCACGTGGTTGTCACTCCATACAGGAAGTGGTTGGTGCTTTCTGGTCTCCTTTCCTGGCAGCTTGCACTGGTGTAAGGCTACTTGGTGGGCTGTCATGTCTGAGGTGGTGTCTCCATTTGATGGCTTGCTTGTCAACGCTGCAAAGCTGCTATATGAGAGAATAAGTACAAAGCAGAACGGTGGCCACAGGACACCACAAAAGATGGAAACTTCAGAAACCAGCCCTTTTCCTCCAAGCCCTGGGTAAATGTGCCTTCCTATTATCCATACACCTGTATGATTCACACTCTCAGTTAACACAGGATGCTCTTTAAATACACCCAGATGATGTTTATGAAAATAAGGACATTTCAATGAAAGAGAAAGCAGTTCAGTTGCTAATAGCGATGACATTCCATCATTGCATATTTGTAAAATCATCGCAACCCACTACTTTCTAAGTTTGATTTGAATATGCACACCAGACTTGCTAGCTTTTACAAAGTATAAATACCATGGTTTTGTACAATTATCTACTCTACATCATCTAAGGGGCCAGGATAATGAAGAAAGCAGAGTTTGAAATAATTATTTTGTATTGCTGAAATTCTACTTTTGTAAAAGTCACCTTGGAGTAAATTATTCTATTTGTGCTGAAAAGGAGCAAACCCAACAAACAACTGTTGTTCTGTTTGTAATTATAGCCCCTTCTGCATTGGCAAAGAGAAATCCATAAGGACTTACAGTCTGTGTTGCATTACTGTGCAATCACAATAAAAACCTCATCTGGTATCCTCCTCCACCCCCTCAAATCTGTTAAAAATCTTAGTTACTGACAGATATTACCATAGAGTGCATAGGAGTTTTCAATCTGAAAATGCCATTGTCATGGTTTAACCATAAAGGAATATAACCAAGATAACATCATTTTATAATGGCATTTAAGCTAGGCACTGTTTGCAAGTTAATTTGCTATTAACAGAAAATTGCCTTCTCTAGTGCTTTTTCAATTCTCATCTTAAAACTCCAGAACTAAATGGGAAAGGTCCATTTGAGTGAAAATTGAATTTTACTCTCTAGCAGCCAATCTCCTGTTTTTCCTAAGCTTGGTTCTTTAGTGTCATGCATAGTTATCACTTTAAAGCTGTACAAAGTCTATTGAAATTGGTCAATAAGAACTTTATGTACTTCTTGACAACAGAATGAATTTGACTAACTTTTAGAAATCTCAGTGTTACATATCCCACTGTGCTCCATGCACACAGCAACAGTGTCCAAACTGGAGTTCTGACTTCTAGCAACAATAATTGCAATGTTTGGTCTTTGTTTATTTGCAGCCACACCAAAAAAAATATCACTGGCAGGCCATGGAATTTACTTCCTCCTTTCCAAAATGTTTAGATGTATAACATATGTCCAGAGCAACAAGCAGATGGTGCATTTGGTTTAAGGGAAAAAATGCTGAGAAGTACAAAAGTATCAGACCCAAAGGGTGCTCATGCATAAACACTTGTTGATTTCTATGTCAATTAAGCTATTGATACAGAAACAGTGTCAAAATAAAAATGCTGGCTAGTCTACTGGCAGAAGTGTAATAATCTTTCCATGATCCAGACTTAGGGGACTGGGCAAAATTCAGGAAGAGGAACTGAAGTTGTACAGTTTTTGCCTAGAGCTACCATAGTTGGCAAAGTCTGGGATGACGGAGTTCTAGGATGTTTTCTCAACTCCATTGCTCTAGGACCTGGGAAAGCACTTATCTGCTGCCTTTACCCTGTGCATCATCTTCAGTTTTAAGATTAATGTTTGTGAAGCACTGACCTCGTCAGTCATCTTGCACAACAGGACATTTCTCCCAGCAAACCATTACTGGAGCTAAAAATAACACTGTCCCTTGACCAGCAGTTGCAGATTTTGGAGGTCTGGAATGCAGAGTTCAAATGGGACTTAAAATAAATAAATCTCATGCTTCAACTGCAAGTACCACTTGGCTGAAAGTAATTTAACTTTGCCCACATTTTATGAGGAATTATGTTGGGAGCCTTTATACGCTGCTTTGGAGTTAACTTGGGCCTCGAGGTGCTAATGAACTATACCTTGAGTAAAACAAAAAGGCACTGAGGAATGCTCCCTTACTGAGTAAGCCTGAAGCAACTTGATAAAAGCTAGGTATAACCAAGTTTCATGATAAGGTAAGTTTTCAACTGCAAAAAGAAAGCTACCAGCATTCTTTTTAAATACATCAAAGATGTTCATTACCTCTAAAGTTTTTGTATTGTGGTAACACTTACCTGCTTTAATTGTGACCACAGTCCCTGTGCTGTGTGCTTTCTTACCCAGTGATTAATGAGCTGTGCCTTGGCTCTGGTAACTGCTTCCATGGAAATAACACCAGTGTAAGCAGTTTAGTGTCTTATTTAACTTTATTCTTTCAATAACAATACTGCTAAATAATCTTTCTGTGTATTCCACCTGACTAAGGCCATTGTGCTTACTCAAAAAAAATTACCAGTGATTAGACAACTTGGGTATGATGAAACAGACACGAGAAATGGGGCCTTAAAAATTATTTACATCGTTCATAAGAATAAAATATACAATTTTTAATAAAAAGTATATATCCCTTTGTGTTGAATTAGGATTTTACTACTAATTGCCACTTCCCATTTCAGATTCACACCTAAAAATGCTCAAAGTATAAACATCTATAAAACTAGTAAATCTCAAAACATGGGAACTTCTAAATAATCTCCCCACTTATTACTGTAGTTAGAAAGAGACAATAACCCACACTTTTTTTAGTCCATTAAGTTAGAATTGATTTGGCAAAGCAGTTAGGCATATAAGCTAAACCAGAAAACAACAGGAACCAGACTTGGCTGCGTTTCAAACGCTTCTCATGCCAGGCCAAGTCAAAGAAGGGTTATTTTCATTACACAGTAGCTAGCATCATAACTACTTTTTCTACAAGTTACCTCAGGAAAGCAAATGCTCACAATTGTGCCCAAAGTACCAAACAAACAACAAAAGTGCTTATTTCTTTGATCAGCAAACTACCACAATGGTTCCTTTGCTGTGCCCCTTCAGGCTGCTGTTCTAAGAGGCTCAGAGCAGTATCTACAAGGAGTTCTCTATTCTCAACACAAACGATAAACACTTGCTCATCAAAGTAGTGCAAACAGAACAAAGAAAAGTGCCATCAACATAAGTAAACTGCAGGGGGAAAAGGCAGTTGAACATTGTGATCTCGCACTGCTGCTTCAGAGAAATCAGTAGTACTCTTCTCAGCACGTCAGACCAAATGTATTGTATTCACCACCTCATGCCACCACCACGTGCAGAATGGATTTGGTCTTTTGCATATCCTCCTTCATAAAAGTAAACATGTCTGATCTTTGTACTGTGCATTAAAAAAGGCTAAAGATTTTTTCAAAACATTAACCAATCAAATCACTGAGTAATTAATATATACAACTCTCTTCCCTTTTTCCCTTCATAGCTTTCTTTGGAGTGCATAGAAAAGGCTACAGTGACACATCACATACAAAACTCAAGTTTAAGTCTTATGCAAAATACTCAAGTATTTCTAGCATATATGTACACAAGTTTATTTACCATATATTCTTTCTCACTCTTACTTTCCTTTTTATCTTTTATCTTGTTTCTTGGACAGATGACATATTTCACCTATGAAGTTATAGGCTGGTAGCTATAAAGTTAGGTATTTAATCCTAGTATTAAATTAGAGTATTGGGGGAAGTAAATTTTAAGCGTATTCATTAAAGTGATATTGCATGAAGTATTGTTGGCATTAATTTATTCCATTACAAACTCTTTCCTGTAAAGAAAGAAAATACTGTGTTTCTTGGACAGATGACATATTTCACCTATGAAGTTATAGGCTGGTAGCTATAAAGTTAGGTATTTAATCCTAGTATTAAATTAGAGTATTGGGGGAAGTAAATTTTAAGCGTATTCATTAAAGTGATATTGCATGAAGTATTGTTGGCATTAATTTATTCCATTACAAACTCTTTCCTGTAAAGAAAGAAAATACTGTAAATTAAAAAATACATCAGAACTCTAGAAACCTTGAACCTTAAATGACTGAGGCCAAATGTAAATAACTACCATCAACTTGAATAAAAATTGCACTTGTATATAAATGAACAAACTTTAGCCCCATTAATAAATTTCTTATTACTTTTCCAAAAAGAAGTAATAAAATATCAAGTATCTCATTTTTTATGGCTTCACACAGTGAAGTTCATGCTTAAATTGCCCAGAATGAAGTTTCTCAATAGCTATCTTTTGTGAACACATCATCAGTTTCATCATCATTCATCCCTCTTTGGTAGCGCACAGAAGAGAAGGCACTCCAGTGAAGACGCTTCTTTTTGTAGAGATACCATACCAGTCCAACAATGAAGACTAAGATAATCAGCAGGGCAAATGCTACAGCCATGCCAGTGTGACTAGAAGCTGTAACAGAACAAAAGACAAACAGTTATTCTTTAAGAGCTTTGGCAAGAATATTTTGTCATGGGGTTGACACAAAGGTAGCTATACACCAACACCACACGCATTTGGTTGAAGTCAAGGCAAATGGTTTCATCATATTAATAGTCTTCACTTAATCACATTGGAAGTTAGATGCTGATTCATATGGAAACCTACTAGTTTATTTTTGATCATTCTGTTGTTAATTTACTAACATTTAGGTTGGAAGAGACTTCTGGAAGTCAAAAAACCTGCTTGCAAATGCTGCATTCATTTGGAGGTTTGTATGCTTCATAGATCTAATGAGATCCTGGACTCTCTCAGAATAGAAGGTAATTACAGTTCCTACAGACTGAAAAGACCTTGCTGAGGTCTTCCTTAGCAGCATGAAGTTAAATTTGTTTCTGCATCTCCATTTCAGTGAAAATGTATACAAAAATCAAAGATTCCACTGCTTCTCATGAACTCATTTGCTTAATACTCAGGCAACTGCTTTCTCTCCTGTACAATGCAGAGTATGAGGAAGTAACATGAGGCCTGAGCCTTTTTCTGGAGCTATGGGGTGCCATTTCCAGAACACCACAATCTGCAGTACCTGTTTACTCAGCATCTCTTACAAGCCGATAGCTCTTTCTGATTCCACCTACACAGACTGAACCATGACAGACACCCTGTGGTAAGAAGCAACAGCAGCTACTCTGTGCTCTCTTTGAAGTGGACATTTCAGTTCTATCCTTACCCATTGAGTGGATAGTGGGAGCCAGGAGAAATAAATTCCTAGACAATTTGTCTCTGAATGCAATTTTATGGCTAAACAACAACAGAAGACTCTTACTTAGGCAGAGGTACTTGATGGGCTGTTTTGTGAATTGCACTTCCTATTATTTCAACACAGACTTTACACAACCAAACCAGAAAAATCCTGAAAACAGTCTTCACAAAATCTAGCCTCTGCAACAATCAATTATTTTGATTTCTCCTTCTGTACCTAAAGGAGCTTTGCAAACCACTCTGCTTTGACTACGATCGCAGTCAACTCTGGACCACATGCCAGTTGTGGACAGGATAACGCTGCATTTTTCATTGACTTCTGCAGTTTTATTCTCCCAGTTGACATAATTAACTGATGAGCCATCCAGCCAGCTCAGGGACTGACCTGTTGGGGAAAAAACATTGCTTAGTTTAGATCATCAAAACATGTTACACTGCTACCCAGTGTCATTCACAATTCAGTGATTTCTTTACACTGCTAAAAGGAACAGGGCTGACTCCCACATATTAAAAGCAGTAAATATGAACACATAACTTTTAGCCATACCTCTTCTCTAGAGCTTTAACAATTGGTGCATTTGCAGCTTAAGCATTAGGGACTGGTAACAGTGTTGGGGAAAATAAATTTCAGTGACTCTTGATCACCTTAGGAGTCCCACAGGACGAGACTTAACAATGAAGTCCAAAGGTCTTTATAATGCTAAACATGGGATTCCAGCCTCAGACAGAAGTTACTGTAGGTCATCAATACTACAAAACTACTTTTATTTGAGGATTTATGCATTTGTATTTACCACATGAAACCTTCACACTCAATACATGGTTGCCACTTCTTACCCTTAGAGCTCTCATCCAGGCCAAGCCACACGTTCTTGGTGATGAGAACATGTTCCTTTATGTGTGTGCTCACAAATGCGTTTTCTTCAGCATTTACTATAGTCAGAAGGGTTGCTGAAGGATCTAAGGGGCAGAGGAAACCAGACAGAATTGCAACTTAGAAGATTCTTCATGCTGCTTGTACAGAGTTTTCTGTGGGAGCAATTACTATAGGAAAAGTTTTGCTGAGCTGAGGTTCCAAAATTAGCTCCAAGTAACCTGCAGAATAAAGACATGAACCTCCCATCCCCTAAAATACAGCAGATAACTGGTTATTCAAGTGGGTTATACAAAATAAAATGGAAGTAAACTTGCTGCACCTGCAGACTACATCCATGGAAGATATCAAAAGATATGGCCTTAGAGAATTACCACTCTCGTCCAAGTAATAAGTCCTTTTCAAAAACACAGTTGAACAAAAGGTCAGCATTTTGCTGAGTGAAGTTAATATCTCAATCCATCCCCTCATTGTGCCTCAGATTTTTACATACAGTTTTACAGTAATTAGGGAATAAGAGGGAGGAAAGGGTATATTAGAGACATGCTCAGAGTGTATCAGTCCTTTCCTAGTACATATGAATAATATAAGCCAGAAGCTTAATTTAGAGAAAGTTCACTTTCTCTTCCCACTTTCAGGCCAAGTGGGACTCAACAGAATACTGCATCCAGGACTGGGACTACTCTCACTTTTTCATCCTAAATAGTGAGTTCAACTTCATACCGTAAAATAATCCCACAAAAGAAAGTCATGACAGTCACTAAAATCTAAGTTAAGGTGATTAAAACTTCTGCTTTAATCATTCTGTTGGACATTAATAATTCTGTTAACTGACTGCTTAACATCACCTTCTACAATACAATTAACTCCCCATGTAGCCTAGCAAAGAAGAGAGAAAATCCTTTAATTTGACATAAAATTAAGGGGTTTTAGTGATACTATGTGCCTTAATATCTACAAAGTACATGTTTTGAACCATCTGATAGGTTAGCAAGCAGCTACTGCAAGGATGTAATGCAGAAGCAGTGCCAACAGCACGACCTTCATACACTGATAAAATATTCTCCTCCGAACTGTAAGCCTTACATTTCTGACTCCTCTACCACTGGCTAGCTGCATTTTATTTGCAGATACCCACGTGCCAAACAAGCTGTCAGCACATTTTATTAAGAATTTTCTCAGATATTCAAAGATAAAGCTTGCTATTGCTTTTTCTGAAGAAGCATAAAACTGGCAAAGCTGAAGTAAAACCAGTGTAGGTTTTTTGGCTGCTGGGTTTTATTTCTTCTCAAAGAGTGGACTAAATTACTAGTTGTAACGTGATAGAGTCTAAACGTACCCAGTTTCTGGCAGACTCTCTTAGCTTCTTCCACATTGTATATTGAAAAATTGTAGAACGCCATGTCAAATGCGTAACAGTGATCCTTATACTGTACCCACTGCAGGGTGCCACTGCTCTGTGGGCATCCTGGGGCTCTGCTCACTTGCTTTGGCTGTAATTGTCTCTCTGCAAAGACAAAGAAATTGACGTAATTTCCACTGCAGCAGCTTAAGCATAGTCTCTTTGGAGTAACAGGGCAGGAAGGACTACTACTCCTATGAACAACCTTATTCATTCAGCTTACATTCCTTCATGTGTTGTGGATGAATTTCTATGAAAATGAGCATAAGACAAATCCCAAAGGCTTGGGAACAATTTTTTTTCTTGCTTTTTTACTAGGTTTGGAAGTTTGTTGCATGTAGTTGATAAGTATTTTGGTTCAGAAAAAATATATACATTTGATATTCACATCACAGGTGATCAAGGAGTGACCACGTTTGTTTTAAGCCTTCACCATCGGAATGGAAAGAATTAATCTCTCTGAATCATTCCTGACAGACAATCCTTCTTAAAGACTGAATCAAGTGTAGCATTTCAACCTTCATTTCTACTTCTAAATACAACAGGTAAAGACAGAATACACAGGACAACTACATAAAACCTTAAAAATAACACTTACGGTTTGTAGGGCTGTAGCAAATGGCACCTTCAGCAATATTTGTACATTTTGTACGGTTCCAAGACCCTTTAGTATCCAAAATAATGCAGTTCTCAGTAGTATTTGAGTTTTCTAATTCCCAGGGATAGTAGTCAAAGTCACTTCCATCTGACCATTCAAAATTAGCTTCACTTCCCTAATTAAAGAAAAAACACAGTTTTTAAATCACGTATGGTCACGGTTTAAATCTTGTTAGTCATGAGTTAAGTCACGTAGCAATATTTGTCCCTTGCAGAGTGATAACTTAGAGTTCAGGTGGCCTCATCTAAATCCACAGTAAATAAATGTACAACATAGTTCACATTTTCCAATCAATTCTTAACATATAAATCCTGATTATTTCTAGGAACTGAGAAAGTGCAACATGTTTGCAGGTTTAAACCATCAATGTGCCTTGCTTCATTCTATGGGGAACGCTTTACTTAATTCCATCCTGCTGTTTCATTTAAGCAGTCTGCCTTCTCTGCTGTGAACATTACTGCACATGTTGCAAACTGCTAATCTCTTGAGATGGCCTCAGTGAATAAAGATGGGCAGCCTGGGAATGGTTTGCAGTGCTAGCTCCTACTTCAGATACATTCCTGGAAATCCATGACAATGAGGAGTCAGTTGTGGAGGGACCCACTCAGGACACAGGACAGGCAGAGGTAGCTCAGGTATGCATAGAAATCACACACCTCTGCAGAGGGGTATTCCTGCCAACTAACTACTATGCCCAGGCCTGGTGATTAGTGAGGGGAGCAGCGTCAGGCCCACAGGCTTTTGGCTCCATGCTTAAGCAGACAGAGGAGGAAGATGATCTGCAGCTGCCTCTTGCTATGGCTCCTGGGAGAAGGGATGCATAACTTGCTCAAGAGCCAGTTCCTGACCTGCCTCGGAGAGCCAGCCCTGACCTGGACTAAGCAGGTTCCACACAACCTTATCTGTATTTGCTAATGGAATCTGATTCTACAAAGGGCCATAAAGTCTGAAGCCTCTAAAGGTAGCAAATCACACTTCCTTGTGCTGCAAGGAATGACTGTATTATTTTGAAGTGCAAAGGATTTGGAAAAAGTATCTTAATGTGGCTACATTCACTAAAATTTAATATTAATATATGTTCACAGGATTGAAAAAGGAGGTAGTAACTACACGGAGAAGAGATTCTAAGAAACTGAAGAAAAGCATCAGAAAATATTTCTTGGCCAAACTATTATTTACAAGCTGTTACTGACCTCACCAACAGTACATACTTACATCATGAATTGACAACCCAAGCCACAGAGGATAACCATCCTGTCTGACAATATCTTCTAGAAATAACTGTTGTGATTCACTGTGAACACTTGCTAAATCACTCCTGTTTTGCTGGCATGCTCTCAGTGCCTCATACCATGTTAATTTTTTCTGAAGGATCCTGTACATTCTGTCTCCATGTGGAACAGACTCAGGCAATGGAAGCTTGTGCTGTGGGGGTTCTGTTTCAAAGAGTAAGAACACAACAAGTTCTGTGCCCTTCTTTCATGTTACTAAGAAGATACAGAAAGTATTAAAACCCATCTATATCAATGTAACTCAAGCATTAAAGTGTTCAACATAAGCAATTTATATCAAGTACATTTACTTTTGCTACTCTGCTCTGAGTAGTTGCTGGAGGAACACAGCAAACACATTCCTCCTGATCAGAGAGTATTAGAGCAGCGATGCAGACTGACCACATAAACCCAGATGCTGCTGGTAGCTGTGCCATGGGTTTCACTAAAAGCAAACCCAAAGCCTTGCATAGCAGGAACTAGGACTTAAATTATGGCCCTCACCCAACTCTCCAATACCACTTACCTCTTTCGATTTTACAGGCGAGAATACTGTACATGTTATAGTGATTAGCATGCCAACTTTGGGAATAATTATAAATATCCCAAAACCCATCAAGATTTACACCAGCAAAAAAACTGTTCTTCTTTATGTCAGGTCTTCCAAGCCTCCAGTTATTGTAAGTCAGATGAGTTTCATCATACCACTTGAGAACTTTATCTGTGGAAAACATTGTGTATTTATTACAACACTAGCATTTTGTGCACAAATACCATTTAACTTGGATCTATTAATGACATGAACAGATATTCACTTTGGAAAAAATGCACTGACACTCTAAGTTACTCTAAATCTGTTCCATATCCAGTGCTATATATATTAGCATTATTCATCCTGGCCATTTTAAGTACTGCTTTCCAGGGACATCAAATCTAGACTAAACAGAACATATTGGTTCTAATTATCACTCAAACAGAGATCACATACAGTTACTTTCTGGTAGAATATAAATGCAAATATAAATTATTATTATACATTTGTATGCAATTTGACTTCAGTTATAAACTGAAACATGAAAGAAACACGTACTTAGGGCTGCAAACATTGTATCCAATCCAGTTATTAAGAAAAAAAAAATCCTGTAAATCTTACCACTGTCATCATAAATCACACCGAGCCAGACCCACGTAGCCAAACCACTGAACGAACGAAGCTGCTCAGTAACAAAGACATTCTCCTCTTCATCTCTAACACTCAGAACAAATGCTTCTGAGTCTGTCGAAAAAATTTTTACATTTTTTCTTAGGAATTCACCTTTCAGTTACAAAATAAATATTTTTTTCTTATTATTGTTGGTAATTACTACAGATAGGTCAACAGTGTGCAAAGGCTGGATCTTAATAACATAATAACTAAGTGAACAGTGTGAAAAATTTTCAAATATATTATCAATAGTGTTTCCCTGGTTTGGTGGGTAAGCGAAAGATATCAGCTCCAGAGACACTGTGGCTCCTACCATCACTTCAAATTGTATGTAGTAAAAATTATCTGCATAGAACATAAAAATATCAGCATCTTTCATGATTTGCTTGAACTGCCCTAGTAGAGAAACGGTATTAAGACTGAATTGAAATCAATTCACAAAAAATACAGTTTCTGGAAAGATGCATGTCTGAAGTGCCATAAGCAATGGTTTGATATACGAAGGAAGCTGTTCCTAAGCTTACACTTTATTCAGGATGAACAGAAAAAGCCCATGTGCTTTTCTGAATCGGACTGTTCTCAGTTTGTTTACTTTTTTCACCTAAATGTTTCACACTCCAAAGGGCAGGGAGAACCACGAAGTAAATGTGATTGTACAGCCAGAATGTTTCTAAGGGCTAAAAGCTCCCCGTCCTGTTTAAAACTGGCATATTATAAAGAAGAAAGAAACAAAACAAAACACAGAAACAAACCTTCCAGTTTTTCAGATATCTGAGTTCAGTAGCTCCTAGCCATGTCTCTTTCTCTCCAACTCTCCTACCTATGCTCTGCCACTTTTTATCAGTGTAGTACAAGGGCAAACAGTATCAGGCAGTGGAACACTAATGCATATTTTCAACTGCTACCTTTCTCAACACTGACTGCTGTCATTCTAGGACAGTGCCTCAGATCTAAAACTCATCTCCCTTAAACTGATCTAAGTCCACAAATACCTGTAATATGACAAAGTACTTACTCATTTTCCTGCATAAATGATGAGCTTCTTGAGATTTCAGTTCTCTCCATCTATTTTTTGTTATCATAAAAGTGTAACAATTGTTTCTAAATGTTACCCAGGGTGTATTTTTAATCTTATGTGGGCACTTCACTTGCGTAGCTTGTTCTTTTTCAATCTCCTCTAAAGAAAGAAAAGACAACATTCAGGACATGACCTCCTAACAACAGCTAACCTGACACACCACAAACCACTTTCAAGTACCATTTAAAAACATGTAATACAAATTAAGTGCCATTTTCTAAATGTGTAATCCATTGCTGCTTTCAGTTTCCTCATGGTGGTGATTTTTTTAAAGTAACAAAAGCAGTGGGGAGTTCTGCTGAGTAACACAGATGCTTACAAATTTTCACAACTGTTACATTATATAGGTTTAAGAGTAAAATCCCTACATTAAAGTACTAAGTATGGGCCAATAACTAAAAGCTCTTATTGCCTCTTGTATGAAGGCAAACCACCATAACAAATAAGCTGCTTTATAGATAGCAACACATCTTAGTTCTGTGGTTTAATCTAAAATTCGAGGAGTGAGAAGGACTCTTCCTGCTGTTGCCTAGAATGCGCAAAATGATATCATAATGCCACAATTTACTGTGACTCAGGATGTACATCAATGGCATAGCTGTGTCCCGTCATGTTAAAGAAACCAAAATGAAGTATAGTGGTCTCATAGGGAAGAAATCTGAAATATCTTCTTTTTCTCAAGGATACATAACTATCACAGCACTTGCCTGAAAAAGACCCTAAACTGTCCTGCTATATCCCTGCCTGTCTTGTTATAATTAGTAGACATTTTGAAGGGTTTTGTGAACTGCAGATGACTAATTTACACCTTTCAATTCAGTGTCTATCTTCTTTCTTCTCCTTATAGTCAAGTACCTCCTCCCTGTACAGACTTCCATGTCTGATGAGATTTCAGGAGGTCCCAATATTAAGATGTAAATAGTACAGAGGTAGCTGAATCTTCTCCCACATGCAAGTGGGAGACATTGGTATGCAGCAATCTTAGAGAAGCAGTGCAAAGGTAGAATCAGTTGGCACTAAGAAGGGTACTGTCTGACACACTGCACCCATGATCAACTTATTTCTAAGGACCAAGCAGATAAGACCAGGCACCCATGATCAACTTAGATTTCTAAGGACCAAGCAGATAAGACCAACAGGTGCATGCCTCCTTTTTGAAGCTGGTTTCTTTTTTTCACAGCATGCAAATCAGCCTGTCTGACTGTAAGTTAAAAAAGTTGTCATTTTGACATTACAAGCTGGAATCGCAAATATGCTTCATAATAAAACAAGAGTCAGCTTTTATAAATATTATACTAGGATACATACTTTCCGATGCATAGCAAATAGCACCTTGATTTTCAGAGGCACAGTCAGAAGTTCTCCAGAAGCCATCAGTGTCCAAAAACACACATTCTTCACTTGTTTCTTCAACATCTTCAGACCAGCGACTGAAACTAACGTGTTTCCCATCCATCCAGCCATAATGTTTTCCACCCTAGCATTGTATAAATAAAAGGGATGAGCTTACATAGTAAAAAATATTAGGTACAGAAAATGACACGATAATATAGTTACACTAGACATTTCCAGTGGTTCTAGTGAGAACTCTAAGTGTTGAACTGCCCTTGTGGTCTGATCTGCTGCTCACAATTTAACAAGCTTTGTGAGTTCAGGTTTTGCAGTTGCAAAAATATGAATTAGCTAAAGCGGATGGTAAATTATCCAATTGTAATGTTAAACTACTGGGCTTATGAAGGAAGGTCTGGCAGTGAGATGTCCAAATTGCATCATTTGCATCTGCCAATCAATTGTGGCTATAATTACCTGGTCTTGGAAAACTAGTAATAACTGAGAATAAGGCCCAGCCTCAGTTACTCCACACTGAGTTGAAAGTAATCTATTAAATACTTAATTCATCTAATACATCAGATGCATTCCTG